GTGGGGGGAACTGAGAACCGGAGGTAGCCCTGGGTGAACTGTCCTGAACTTCAGGTAACAGCAAAGCCGACTGAAGGACCTCTATCTCAGTCACATGTGTCTGTTCGGGCCTCTAAGCTTCCATTAAAGTGCTGTGATTCATAATTCAAACATGGATTAACTCTAATTCAAATAATGATAATTTCTGGTTCAAATTTTCTATTGCCGTGTTAAAAGAAGGGCTCCTTTTAACCATATAGGTTTTTTTACCCCCCTTAAAGCTAAAATGGAGGGGGAAGGGGGAGATATTGAGACTGGTTCCATTCAAATGTTTTCATAATTTATTCAATTTTTAAGGCACACAGGAGTTCTGATCATTTTAACATCTATAACTACAAAGTCAGCACTAGTAACACGTGGTGGTCTACTCATTTACCAAGTTTGAGTGTAACATTAGGAAAGGAGACTTAAAAATCTGACTCTTAAACAGATGTGTGCAAAGTGGACCCCAGTGAGCCATGACAGACAGCACCTCCAAACCTGTGTGGCTGGTGAAGGAAGCAGGCTGCTGGCATAGAACTGCAGCATCTAGTAAGCAGGGACAGAAAGTGGGCACCATATTAAAGACTTTGCTTCCTTATAAGGCATTTCCACCGAATTCCACAGCTGTTAGCATTCATGCATTCTCCTCCCTTTCAAATGAATCGGCCATAGAGCAGGTGTGCATATCGAGAATGAGCATTTCGGCTTCAACCAACTCTACAGCAAAGTTTTCTGTGCGATGCCTGTGGAGGTCAAGGACAAACCGTGAGGTCCTGATGAAATCTAAGCAGCCCCACCTGTTCTCCAGGTCTGGGGTCGGGGCCCAGTATCCGCCCACACACAGCTGCGGTGCATGGGTCGGAGGAGGACTGGAGGAGGGAAAGCCACATATAGACCAGAAACTCTTTGAGTCAATCTTTTCCACTTCTGCCCTCACTGGACCATTTACCAGAACTGCCCAAGATAGTCACCAAGAATTTAATCTCCCTGGGTTTTTCCAGCCTGACCACTAAATGAGATAAAACAGCAAAGCAGCAGCAATGACTGGGTGAGCCCCAAGATATCATCATCATCATCATCATCATCATCATAGAGGAAGAGCAAAGCTGGAACTCAGCGAGAGCAGCCACGAGAAGCAACCAAAAGATGCATGGCTCACATTTCAACGCAAGGCAGGGGGGCTCTCCAAGTTGCAAATGACGTGAGAGTTCCCATTGGAGGCACAGACTTCATGAGAAGGGTGGGAAAAGGGAAGGCAACAGGGAAGCTGGGACCAAAGGCACAGATGAGCCCCTTCTACCACCGCCTTTCCTGGAGGTGGTGACCAGGTGGCGGCGCTCATCACAGCGGACTCCTGCTGGGGCTCTGCCGCTCACCACTTCCCCACCTCTTTAAAAACTGGTCTAAAGTAACCTCTGCTGTGTACGGCAGAACATGTTTCTTTGTTTTAGGTCCTCTTTGGATGGATATCAAGGCAATACCAAGAGGTCCCCGCGCCAGTCCTTTAAAGAAACAATAGAATCAATGAATGAAATGTACATAGTGCAATTATGTTTGTGCGAAAGACTGAACATTTGGAAGATGTTTTACCAATAAATTATCAGCAACCACGTGGGACAAAATTGTAGGTGATTTTTTGCTCCCTTATCTCTCTGATACTGTTTTAAAACAAGCGTGCGTCATTTTTATAATTATGAAAAGTAGTGCTTTCATTTTGAAAAAATGTAAGCTAACATTTAAGAGGAGAAAACATGCTATGTGTGATTATGAAAAACTATCAAAGGCAGACCAAGTTTTTATAAATGGAAGGAATTAAGCCCAAACCTAATTGGCTTTGAAACTTAAACTGCAAAACACATGTCCTGAATATCATAGATTATGATGTCAGTGAATGTCAAAAACTTAATTTACATGCAGTAGGCAACTGGCATGTATTAGGGCAGATACTGACTGAGCTGACAAATTGGCATTATTTTGCAAAAGATGGTTGGCCTTGGGGAGATGCATGAACACACTCTTCTTGAAGCCCCAATCATCTAACTGAGAAATAAAACAGAAAGCACTCAGGCTTCACTTCATTCTTTTGGCAACATCTGAATATGCATGCTCGATCTCCCGGTCAGCTGGACATGTATTTGTGAATTCATCCCTAGCATAAGCATTGTCCAAGTATCTCCAGATGCCAGTCATTTCAGGAGGAAATTCAAAATCTCTGTATTTCTTGGCCACAATCTGAAAATGAAGAGGAAATGGTGGGTGAAGGTAAAATCCACTAACGTAGGCCATCATATCAAACAATCCATTCTTTTGAGGCACATAGCTCACTCCTGATGTCATCTTGTAGTCATCTGGTCTACCCATCATGACATTTTGACTTTGCATAGGGGGCATCGTGGGGACAGGAAAGTGATAAAGTTACTGTACTCAAAACAGTACCTCCACACAGTCCTGCTCATCAAGTTACCTCAGATGATCCCTGAGACTCACTGACACAAATGTGCTCTATGCTCAGTGGAGTTCTTCTTGTGTTTCCTGCAGCTTTCTTTTCTATCAGTTGTCTTTAATGCTACTATGTATCCAATGCATAAAGATTCATGATGAATCTTGAGTGTAGACTGTGCCGGGATCACTGTAAAGTGTCTGTTTTTCCTGCTTGCTGAGCCTTGCTTCCTGTGGTCCTGAATATCTGTGCCCATTACTCCTGCAAACTTCCATCATCCTGCCACTGACCATCATTTGATTGTGGGCCTACCCCAGGGAGAGAACAGACTTGTGAACAAGACAGACACGAACCTTACCCTGGTGGAGACGGTGAAGTAAGGGAAGGGAGATTGAAGGGGAACTTCATGAGAACCTGAGCAGGTATGAAAAGTGGAGGCAAGCAGTTGGAGAGTAGTCACCAAGGAGGGTGTATGATTGTACCCGTTTGTTCAGGATGCCACAACCAAGAATCCCAAACAGGATGCCTTAGAACAATAGAAATGTATTCTCTCACAGTCCTGGAAGCCAGAAGTTCAACATCAAGATGTAAGCGGTCCCCCGTTTCCTGATGAGGTGCCCAGAAGGATCTGTCCAGCCTCTCTCCTCACTTCTTGCTGTTCCTTGGTTTGCAGAAGCTCAAGACCTGTCTTATGTGGCACTCTGCCTGAGTGACCCTCTGGGTCTCAGACTCCCCCGCTCCCTTTCACTTGTCTTAATCATCTGCATTTGCAAAGACTCTGTTTTCCAGCGAGGTCACACTCTGGGTTATGAGTTAGGACCTCCACATATGAATGTGGGGTACAGAAAGGCACAATTAAACCTGTGACAGCAACCCATGGCCACCGAGGCCAGTTCTGGTTTGTCACCTCCTGTCCCTGTCCCTGTGATGTCTGCATGTAGTGAACAATGGATTTACCACAAATGAGGTCTTCAGGGCTTGTTTCTCGGGGAGGCCAGTAGCCACTGATGCAGGGTAGCAGCAAATTAGGACCCAATGACTTTCAAAAAGCCTCCAAAATGGCTTCACAGCTTGTATCTAAATTCTAACTTATTGATGTGGGTCTTTTGTCTACATTTTTCTTGTTTGCTTTACCAGTCTTGTAATTTCAACATTTCTAAGTACATCTGCTAATTGTATTCCTCTTACAGATGCAATCTTGTTTTTACATTATATTTTCTGAACTTAATATTTACTTTGTTTTCTTCATGAGCATATGTGTGCATGCATGTGTTTGATCCCCTTCCTGGTAACTTAGAAAGTTTATCTTAACTCTTTCAGTGATTTCCTATATAATTTAAAATAATAGGAATTCTCCATTTCTTGATTTATCAATTTTGGATGCTCTCTATTGTCCTCATGGGGTCAGATGAGGAAATTTGTGCATCTACACCCCTTTCCATTTCTTCTCCCAGGTCCCTCTACCAACAATTTTAACAATATCCAGGGCTATTTTACAAGGTATAATAAAAAATATTTAATTTTTAAAAATTCCTTGTAGTAAAAGACTCATTGCCATTAATCCCCTTCAAACTCCTTCCCTTCACTTCAAAAATGTTTATCCCCCCTCTAAAGCAGCTATGGGAGCCCTTTTTCAGTGGTTCTGCCACCTGCCTTGCAAGCACAAGGACCTGAGTTCAAACCCCGGTAAAAAAAAAAAAAAAAAAAATCTTGGATGTCAGGGAACCAGCAAAGCTACCGAAAAGATATTCACTGCAGAAAAAGAAATGCAAAGTTGTGACACAGAGTAACCAGGAGTGGCTGATAACCACGAGTAACAGCACCACAGACTGTGAGTCTTATGTGGGGTTTCTTTTAATATATAT